TTTTCCAAGTCAAACTTGTTGCTTATATACATGCCTATTAATTATAGCATAATAATTACATGCAAGTATTCAGCATTACTTACCATAATAATAGTATATTAATATGGAATTTTAAATGAAGCAAAATTCATAATAAAATAGAGTAATAGTAAATAATCCTGTCCTTCATTTTCTAAAACAGTGATTTACATGTGATTAATCAATTCAAAATTTTTTTATTATTAAAACAAAAATTAAAGATTTTTGGGTGGAAATAAATTGAAATGTTCACTATTTCTTTTTAAAAATAAAATTTGATTGACCAAATCTGGAGATAATTGAGTACGTTTTGCAGAAATATGGTTGCCAGCATCTGAAAACAACCTCTCGCTAGGTACAGAGGTTGCAGGAATTGATAAATATTTTTGAGCAAGTTGAGATAGAATTGGAAAATTGCCTTTATTTGCATCCCACCATTTTAAAGGATCCTCCATAATATCAATCTGCCGAAGTTTCACATAACTCAATACTTCATCATCATCATTCTCAACTTCAAATGAACTTAGATCAATTTCCAAGGTTTCAAAAAAATCATCATTGTCATCTTCATTAGCTGTATGTAAATTGTGAATAGTTGTTGTTTGTTGAATATTATTAGATTCAAAATCCACTTTTGTAAAATCATATAATTCCCGTAATAATTGATGTGATTTGTCTCTTTCCTCACCACTTCTATCCCATTGGAAATTTTTGAATCGGGGATCAAGTACTGTTGCAATTTGAACTAATTCTGTTGGAACTGACCATAATTCATCTAATGATAAAAAAATAGCTGCTTGAACTTTTTGAAGAAGGCCAGTAGTATTAACAGCTGGTAAATATTCAACACGATTAATATCATCTATGTCATCTATTGCACCTCTAGTTCCTATACCATGGCCTCTTCCTCTTCCCCTCCCCCTTCCCCTCCCCCTTCCTCTCCCTCTAGTAATTCGCATCCTTTGTTGAAATTGACGATGGGAATATTGCCAATGTTGTCGTGAACCACCAGATGGGATTTCATCATCATCACTGGTTGAACTGTCAGATTCTTCTTCATTGTCATTATTATCTTCAGTTTGTGGCCCATAAATGAGATCAAGGTATGTATCAAGACTTTCTCCATTTTCAGACTTAGGTGCAAATGTCTTTTTCAACAATTCCATATAAGGGTTAACAAGACTTAAAGTAACATATTTAGCTCCACAAAATCGGCGAGTTACTTTTTCAAATGGTGATAAAAGGTTTACCATATCTTGAATAAATCTTTTCAAAAAAAAATAATATATATTAAATGATAGCACTATATAAAACTATAAATTATTATTTTTAAACTTACTGTTTTTCATCAAGAGATAAACATAGTCGTTCTAATTTCTCTCCTTCTTTCTGTGATGCTCGATCTGGTTTTGTCAACAATGTGGTAGAAATGAGTCGCATTGAATTGTGTAATTCTAATATTCTCTTCCATGCATAGTATGTCGAATTCCATCTTGTTTTAACATCAGTTAAAACATCAAGAGGGTTACTATAATCATTTTCCTCCAGTAATTGCTGATTGCTTTGTTGGGCTTCCCGAAGTCTCTGAGCTTGTTTTGGTAAACGAAAAAATGCCTGTAAACACTTTACTCGACGATGTATTGATTTACACTGCTTCAGACCTTGTAGAACTGAAAGTTGTAACGTGTGAGCAGCACAAGGTTGCCGTTTTATTTGTGATAAGTATTTCTCACCTAATAGTCGAACACCCTTTATCATATTAGAACCATTATCAGTTGCAATGGTAAATGCTGTGTTTGATAAATTCCACTCATTTATAATTTGAAATAATGCAGCACTGATAGTCTCTCCTGAGTGTGGATATGGAATGTGATTACAGGACAAAAGTGCCTCACAGAATTCAAAATTAGATGTTAACCATGTGGCTGTTACACCAAGATATCCATGACGAGACCTTGCAGTCCATAAATCAGTAGTCAAATGAACAGCAATAATATTATTATTATTTAAAAGTGAACAAAGTTGTTCCTTACAGCATACAAATGAATCATTGATTATTGCTTTTACTGTTTTGTCACATGGAATTCTATAACCCAGCTCACAGATAAGGAGTAATTCACGAAAGTATTGATTTTGTAAAATATATAGTGGTTGAATGAATTTGATGATAAAGGTTACAAGCTTTTGTGTAATAAGTTCCTGTCGTTTTGGTGAGCATGGAGCTGCTGCTTTTAAATATCCTATAATTTGAGTTTGATCACGTCGGGGCTATTAAATATTAATTAAACTCTATTTTAGAAGGATAAAAAGAATGAGGATATGGATAAACACCTGCAGCAGAAAGCAATTACCTGATTAGAATTATCTAAAAACTGAAAATAATTTTCTTTAGTGATTTTGTGTTTATCACGCAAATGGACAATAAGATTTGTTGTGTTTCCACCTTTTCGGCTGTATGCATAAGGTTTTTGACGTGCACCAGCTAAATTAATTTCACATATTTTGCAATAGGTGATGGAAGTATTAATTGGATCAGTGCGAAAAAAATAGGATGTATGGCTTTGATTGTTTCGGGATTTGGTGGTGCTTTGATTGTTGTGGGAATTAATGATATTAATACTATTTCGTTTTTTTCTATTTAAACTGTTAGAACTGTTGGTTGTAACTGATTCTGTTTCAGAAATGATTTCAATTGAAGAAGTAGGTTCGTATTCAAAAGGAGGAGGAGATAAGGGAATGTCTTCTATGTCATCCATTATTTTTTTTTTTTTTTTTTTCAAAGAGAAAAAAATTTTTTCTTATAAATAACTTTATTCACAAGTGCAACAATTAATATACAAATATTTACATTATCACGAGTACATTAATGTACAAATAAAGAAATAACTCTAAACATTATTGCAGAACAAATTAGTTTATATTACTAATTATGTTAAAATAAAATTATTTGTACAAAATTATTTTTAAATAATGAAAGACAGCTTGTCTGTTTGTAAGAGTGTTCAATTTGTTTTGACAAGTGACTCTTTACAACTTGGTAGCAGTGAATGTTTTATACATATGTACATATGCACATTCACATTTACATATTGCGAAATAGTGATTTAAGGATCACAGGGAATTTGGAAAAGTTATCTCTGGCAATGAATTCATACTAATCCCGTGTATAATTAATTTTCTTTTATTTTATATTTACCACTATTTTTTTTTATTTCTTTAGTGAGTAAATTTCAACAATCAGAATTATCAGATGATTCTACAGATTTTGAAGAAAGTTATGAAACCAGTAATATATGTGAAGCAGCAATT